CGCGCCCAGAGACCGTCCTGCGCGCACAGAGACCGTCCTGCACGCACAGAGACCGTCCTGCGCGCCCAGAGACCGTCCTGCGCGCACAGAGACCGTCCTGCACGCACAGAGACCGTCCTGCACGCACAGAGACCGTCCTGCGCGCCCAGAGACCGTCCTGCGCGCCCAGAGACCGTCCTGCACGCACAGAGACCGTACTGCACGCACAGAGATCTTCCTGCACGTACAAAGACCGTCCTACGCGCCCAGAGACCGTCGTGGGAGCACAGAGACCATCCTGCGCACACGGATACTGTCCTGGAAGAGCTTGGCCACATCAGGACGCTCAGATGTCTGTCTCTCGTTTTTCAACTTCTGGGGGTGAAAACATTTTTTCCAGCTGGAGGGATGGATCCTTTCTGTTGGTCTTATTGGCTGGTTCATCAGCCGGCTAAAATGTGCTCCAGTCTGCTGACCGTGACGACAGCTCCTCTTCTAAATAAAGACTTTAGTCTTCTTTCTTAGTTTTCAAACTCACAGTTTTTAACCACTAACGTTGGGTTTTCTGTAACCTGACTTTTATCAGCATGAAATATGGATTTTTGACTCATTTGACATATTTATGTTTCAAAACTTCAGCATATGATGTCAAAAAACACTTATTTCCACACTCTGCGCACACTGTCTGCTTATACAGAGCTAAAGGAAACTCAGAGGCTTATGGTGACCTTGAGGTTTATGTTTTATTTACAGATTTGTAGTTTTAATGCCTTGAAAAAATGGGCAAAGTGCTGTATGAGCTGCAGTTCATTGGTTAAATTATCAAACTAAAGTCCTTTCTTTTATGGGTTGAGTTTTGTTCCAATATCGTTGTAAAAAAAAAAAAGAGGAAAAAAAAAACACGTTTTGTAAAAATTTGAAAATGTAATCCAGACATGAGACCTCGAAAAAAAAACGTAATCAAAAGATTTTTTTTCTCAATTTTTTTTTTCAAATCTCTGCTTTTACACAAATTTGCAAATCAGTTTTGCAAATTTCATTTATTTGAAATTGAATTTTCCAGATAATGTCCCTTTCACTTCTGATGGCGGGCTTTCTATTGGTCAGCTGGATGTTAGCAACAGTTTTATAGGTGAAGAGAATGTGATCTGGAAAACACAATCTGAAAAGAATGGATTTAGAAAACTCTATCAGAAAGAGAAATTTGAAGAAAAAAAGTTAATAAAAAATATATATATATATATTTTAAAAAGTAAAATCAGAGAAAACAACGTAACTCTCAAAGAATTTTTATTAATATGTTTTTAAATGAAAAGTCCGCTCATATTCAGAATCCAAACTTCTGAAAGTTCTTTAAATATGAAATTATTCCATCCTGTTCAATAAATGAT